ACCGCGCCAAACTTAGGCCAGCTCCGGCTCACCTTGGAAGATGTACATTATCCTCCACCTTGCCTACACCAATGGCTCCTGGACCGTGTTGTTCCATCACCCTAACGAGACCCTGACCCTGACCCTGACCTTGCTGCTGCCACTACTACTACGACTACTAATACCACTACGACGACCTGCAGGCGTATATTCTTTTCGATCGAAAACAGGAAACCACAAACACGTAATCTTTGGCTGAGATTTGCTATCATTCCTAGGCTTAAACGATTATATATGAGCCCTTTTACGCCAGGTACATTTAGATCCAGGTCGTGGTAACCGGTAAGGCCTTCTCTAGTTACCGATTCGGCAATTGCTATAGGGTAGAAGCCGACCGGTGAGGATAAGACCAATACATTTTCAAGTATGTGCCGTCCGCTAGCTTCAGATTGTGACTGGTCTTTCGTAGTTTAAAGCGCTCTGCTGGGAATCCTTTTTGTACGCCTTACCTTGTCCAATCCCAGACCTTGACTCTCTGAGAAGTTATACCTCCCTGAGGTATAAAAACGGACGGATGGAAAAGGTACATTGTCATGCTTTAACATCGTACTCAGACCGGTCTTGGTGCTGCAGGTAGTCAGACGAGAACACCAGAAGCACAGAAGTAGCAGCCACAAGAAGAAAGCAAGGAACACATGAGGCGAAAGTATTAATTGATCGAATTTTCGAATTTGCACTCAATAAGTTAAAAGCCGTTGTCGTTCCATGTCGTGTCATGCCCCATGCGCATGTCAGTGCTTTGGCCTAGGCCCTTTCATTCCCAAACAAGCATAAGGCAATCCCTTCGCTTTAAATTCCTATTTGCTTTGCTTTGGTTTTTTTTTTTTTTTTAAGTCGATTGTTCTTCGAAACTAAACTAAAAATACTTTTTTTTTTCGGTTCCTCTCCGGTTTGGAATTTTGTATTGTACCCATATCCCTTGGGTAGTATAGCACAGCACGCATACATACATAAATACATGTATGTGAGTATGCCAGGTAGGTACATGTTGGACATATGAATTACATAGGTAAGTACGGTATACATATAGGTACTTATCTCTTACACATTACATATCTGCAATGTCATTCGATGTATCTGGTTCTAGCTGTAAAGGTTGTTTTGGCCCGGCGCTCTACGGGAGAAAAAGGGTCATATGCGGTCACCGTTCAGTCTAACCTACCCAAAGCAGACATGAAGTACGAATTGTCAAGTGTGTATCCTAGGTAAGTACCTCATTCAGTACTTACCTCCTTCCCGAGAGTAAATAAAGTACTTAGGTACCCATGATTGAATGTGTTACATGGTATTTAGGTAACTAAAGTTAATTGGAAGTGACAACCTTGAAAAAAAGTTGAAGTCAGAAAAAAAAAATTTAAAAAAAGAGGAAAACCCAATCGAGCCCTTGTCGCAAAAAGAAACATCACTTTCTTCTCATAAAACTTCCGCTTCCCCTGTTATCGAAAATTCTGGGACAACGTACCAGTTCCACTCCAACTCCTAACTCCTTCATGTCAATCACCTCAGGCAAGATCAGGTCCTGTTTCTAATGTAGTTCCCTGACGGCCTGTCCCTCGCGTTGGTAATGCTCCTAGTGCCGAGTTACCTTCTTTGGTAGTATGGGACTTGACGGGAAACACTGCCGACCGTTCGTCATAGGGCCAGGGTAGACGATGTCGATAGAGCCGTACGTACATATTAGTATCTGAGTGTTATTTGAGCCTCCCTCATGATTTTTCAAGCTTGCAACGACGTCCCCGTCGAGTAATTAGTTACACATCACATTTTACCCCCTACCCTCTCCACCTCTCACCCATCCATTGTCTGTTTTCACTCTGATGCTCTGCTCTGCTACAAAAAGATAACTTCCGCCTCGCCTAGTCTACATGATTCTCTACCGGTCCCAGACTACAAACAGGCAACTCATAAACATCTTCCCGTCACAAACCCACATTTGACAAACAATAAATAACCCAACGTTTTCTCTGGACCTCAAGGTCGTTTCTATTCACTTGTAGTCTGTCGACTATTTAAAGTCCCTTAAGTCTCTCTTTCATCACCACTTATCTCTACCCACCTCAACGCCCTTTCTTCATCCTCACCCATCATATTCGTCATCCGTCACAGCCAGCAAAGTCTATCGCACCATCTTGTCAGCTAATCCTCACATCTACATCGATACATCGATACTCGCATCAGTGAGTCTCTTACAGCAGTAAGAACCTACCTAGGTACCCTTCACTGATTATGCCACTAACACCATCTTTAGGAGGGACCAACTAAACCCGCTAGTATTCCCAACTATCCGGCACTCTTATCATCGGCATCCGGAAAAGTCTTCTAAGACAGATCCCTGACCGGATATGGCTAAAAACATGGCCGTCAGCAACAACTGCGCACACTCTTTCAAGATGCTGAAGTCAGACAGCACGCTTGTCCAATGGACCTGTAATTTGTGTCACTCAGGCCCCCACTGGTGGATTTTCGAGTGTAGATACTGCAAGATCCACACGTGCCGGGCTTGTGTCCACAATGTCTAAGCACGGGGAGGGCCCGAACCGTGTTATTATTGGCCTTTCTGATAAATGTAAGTGGGAAACTCGTATCTGTCACGTCTCATATATCATGATCTGGGATTTCAACATAACAGGAAATGAGCAAAGTGCTAACAAGGCGCTCAATTTAGTCCCAGAACCTTGGTTTCGGCTCGTTCGAAGCTAAGCTTTACTTTTTGGATTGGAGGGAGCCTCTTCCGATATTTCACGGCATAGGTTTACAAACCGAAAAAGAAAAAAAATTAAAAAAAGACTCGACACACGCAAATAGCCGTCGACATCTGGAAATACATAGTAGGTTACCGGGGCGCTTGTCGGCTACGCTAAGATCCTGCAGGCGTAAAGCCAAGACGGCCATCAAACCACCTTATTGGCCTAAGCCGTTTTTTCTTAGTGACATTTCCAGCAGTCCCTTGGGCCTACATCTTCAGCCACTTGATCGATGAAGCCACAGCGTATCTCGGTCCAATTTGGTTAGATCCCGATAGATCACTTTCCGACAAACTGTTACTATGTACACCGTTGTCATAGGCTGTACGCGACATCACCTTAGGCCTGTTTGACGGCTCTCATGATTATGATTTCCTTAATGTACCTCCATAGACATTGTATTTTGCGCAGATTTCCGGTGCCTTCCCACACGGGTACGGATTCACCCGAGTTTTCCCTTTCTTACTATGGTCGTTTTCGGAGTTGACAGGCATGCTGGAATAGCATTGCCAATTAGGTTGGCTTCTGCCCATAACGGAAGATTTTCTTCGTTTTCAAAAAGGAATGTATGATGGAATAAATGAAATTACAGTTGGAGCCTTACAGGTGTATGACTTTGGGGTTGGCAATGGTTAACTGCGTATTTGCGGTGGATCTTGTTTCATTATCTCTTCTAACTCATGCAGATGGTACGAAGGGGGCATCCATTTTACTACCGATACAATACCTAGCAGCCAGCTGGGTTGCCTTGGTCTGTCTCTTATCCTTTTTGTTGCACGGGTCCTCCAGGATTGGCGTGAAAGGAAAAGGAAAAAAGAAAACAATAAAAAAAAAAAAGAAATTCTGGGAAAAGATGACTAGTACGCAAGTACACTCAAAATCTTATTCATGTTTTTTTAATACTTCTTAAATAGAACAATCACATCGTTAGTTTCCAAGATGGAAAGTATAGGCAATCTTACGCTAATGCCACGTCGCAAGGGAAATCAGGGCCATGGCAGGTTAGGTTAAATCAAATCAAATAGATGGATCGGGTTGGGATGAAGTCAAAGTTGAGGCTGCTGCGTGCAGCCCATGCAGCCCGTGCAGCCCAACGGAAGGACAGCTGAGATTTAGGCATGGCTACGTGCAAACGCTGTGCGACGTGGGAACACGCGTTTTCTTTCACACACGCGGCGGTCTGCAAGGTCCCGTTGGCTTCTGGAACGGTTAGCATATCCATTGGGCTGTCATGGAAGACGGCGTGGCACATAGCGTTTGTACGCGGCAACCAGCATTGGGGAAACACAACGGCCAGCCTTGACGGTGAGAAGTTTTTACCTAACGACGGAGTAGAAGACAAGTTGTTAACTTACCTTAGGTGGGTAGATGGTTAGTCCTCTTTCTATTACACCGTCGCGTCACCATCACATCACTATCGTTATATATACCATACCTACCTCCTATCTACCTTGGGCCAGGTAAGTATAGGTATAGGTATATATGCCATGCATGATTGACATACATACAGTATATACCTTAGGTACATACATGCATACCTAACATATGCGCTTCATTAACTCAGCTTGCTTTCCCTCTCTCTCCTTCACCAAGGCGAGGCGGAAACAGGGCAGGACAGGATAACGACTGGCCTGGTTGCGCTACAGCTATGCACAACGTCGTGACGTGCGACGTGGGACCAAACTTCGCCTTACAAGCGACTCCGGATATTCCCCCCGCCTTTCCCTTCTCCCGGAGACCGGGTCTAAGCCGGCCGGATGTAACTAGAATCTAGAACCACGATCCGGCAGCCTCGTACGTAAGCCAACTATCCGGGAAACATCTGCCATACTTGGACTTCCTGTTAGGTACCTAACCTGTTGCCTCGCTTGCTCTCGCGTCCATATCCCCTGGCGTAACCAAGGTCTCGCTGACTGACTCTCTGTTCCTGGCACATACACACCCCCTAGGTAGGTACTTTACTCTCTTTTCGCTTGCTCTCACATATACACACTCCCCCCTTTTCTCTTTTAAACACGCCACATCATCCATCTGCCAGTTCGCCCCCCAGCACAGCACGTCTCCCGTATTTTTTTTTTCTTTTTCTTTTTGACACATGCCTTACACCCGCCGCGCGGTAATACCAGGTACATACCTTAGGTACCTACAAATATAGACCGGGCTCACTTCGGCCAGGCCCAAGTATCTCTCTCGGTGATGCGTCTCGTCACGTCGACTTCGTCCCCCACGGCGACGTCAGCTTCCAAGTTCCCTGCTCTTGTGCTTTCGTCACTCTTCTTACCACCATCACCATTCCCATCACTATCACTACCAACACCGCGATCGCTGCTGCTATTTTCATCCGACGGTAGCAGAAAGGCGTACCGCCCGAAGATAGGCGACCACCGGTTGCCCGCGTCCACGCGGCGGTCCCGCATCAGCTTCTTCAGCACGGCGCCCAGCTCGCCCGAGGCCCGCCGCCCCGCTGCGACGGCCGCTCACCCGCAGCTCCGCCCAGAAATCCTCGTCCCAGGCTTTTGGTATCGACGACGACGACGATCCGTCATCCGCGCTACTACTATTACTATTGTTGCTGTTGCTGTTGTCGTTTTCGTCTTCTTCTTCTGGGCCAGAGGAGAAGGGGGAAGAGGAAGGGGAAGGGGAAGAAGAGTCCTCCACCCAAACCTCGTCCACGACGATGTTCGGCCGGAACTTAATCATGTCCATCTCCTGGCCCTCGGGTAGCCGCGCGCTGACGTCGCGCAGCGAGGCTTTGGACGTTACGAGGAACGGGGCGGCTTCGTTGAAGGCGAGTCCACCGTTGCCATCACCACTCCTAGATTCTTTTGGCTGCTGTTGCTGCTGCTGCTGTCGTCCATGATAGGGCACATAGGATGCCAGGTAAGAAATTAAAGACTGGGACTGGGACTGGGACTGCGTCTGCGTCTGCGTCTGCATCTGCGTCCGGGACTCGGTCCGCGCAGGAGCATGCGCCAGCACGGGGCGCCGGTTATCGCCGATATACACGAGGACGGCGGGGTACCCGAGGCACGCGGAGAACCAAGCGTCGTAGGGGTCGCCCATGCGGAACGCGGCCGCGCCGGTGCCGAACAGCTTGATGTCAACGGTTTCGAGGCCGTCGACGGGCGGGGCGAGGGGGACTCGCAAGGCGGTGAACTGCTGCGGAGGGGGCGGGACGATCAGGGGCTCCGTGGGGACGTGGTAGGTGACGACGACGTGAGGGTGGTTGTCGTGGTGGTTGCCGTCCTCGTCGAGGGCCTGGTGGAAGAGCGCGCACTCCGGGAACTGGTACACCTGGATGTTCTTGTACCCGCCGTCGGCCTCCGCTTTCAGCAGCATGAAGCGCCGGTCGTATTTCAGACCCTCCCGCCGAAGGGTGGCCCGGTCGAGGGACACGGGGCGTAGGGATTTGATGGGGTAGATGTATAGCTGGGAAGGGTGTGTGAGTAAGTGAGTGAGAGGTGAGAAATGGCGTGTGTTGGTGTAAACGAATGGGGAGGGAGACCAGACCGGACCCCCTTTCCAGTACAGATAGCTCACTCACCTCTGTGATCTGTAACTTTTTCCGACCCGTCTTTGCTGGTTAAAGGATGCGAGACCAAAGACCAAAACCAACGCACGAGTAAACAGGTTTCTATTACTTTATCCCTTTCCTCCCTGAAGCCTACCAGGTAGCCTATGAGATATGACGGTGGTCTAATCACGTCACTAATAGGTAGTAGTATGAGGTAGGTATACCTGGTTATTTCGTTTATGGGTCAGATGTATGTATGTAGTTCTACCACTCGGAGGTTTGAACTAAAGTTACCTACCTAAGGGGTGGGGATAAAACTGAGAAGTTGTACCTATGCAATTCTTATCGAGTGTACAATATCTAACCTAGTATTGCTGGGGAGAAAGGTAGCAGAGCCTCATTAGAGGTTAGATTAAGCAGATTCGATAATATAAATAGGGTAGGTATGGATATATAGATATTGTTTTCCAGATGCGGGGGAGCTGAGCGGTGTAGCAGATAAGTACCGAACCTAAGGTAGGTATATAAAAGGGAAGAGAAATGAAAAAAGGGAGAAGAGAAAGCATTATGATTGTTCGGAGGGGTTCCGCTCAGCTCGGCCAATACGCATCGCGGATCAGCAAGTCCGAGTGTGTATATGGATGTATTATTCCTGCGACCGGGTACGTGGACTAGTTAATACCATGCCATACATACCTGTATCGATCATACCTATCATCTTAGTCGCTACGGATCCCGCATTATGCAAAGGAGATAATCCGGAAGATACCTGATGCATGGCGCCTTGGATATTTCTTTTTGATACTTGCCTCCAGAGCTGATAATCATTACCTCTAAGCGATAAGTCTTACGGCGCAGCACCTTAGGTACATAATATAGATACTTGTAAGTATAGTTCATCACAGAGATGAAGTTTGGAGGAAGCGTAACAGGTACCTAGTTAATATTTGAGATAGATAGATTATACTAAAGATCCTATACGTTAATCTGATCGTGTTTACCCCTCCCCCTTTTTCAGCCAGTATAACATCGTACCCCTTTCTATTGAAAGTTGGTTCGGCATTTTTGGACCCACCAACACTACTAATACCTACCTAATCTTACTGTCTAGATCTATAGGAGGAATGAGTTTTCGTCGGCGTGATATTTATAGGCTGGACGATACTATTCCGTTCCGCTAGGGTTATGTACTAGCGAAATGATAAATGATAGAGAACAGGTATCAGGGCGTCTTGACTAGGGCTTACATTATTGATATACTCTGCAGCACGATATAGTCGGAGGCTCCAACCAGTCTAGGTAAACTTTAGTGAATCAGTCAGACGGTCCTGCACTGCCAGCTGTATAGCAATTAAGCTCTGCGCATTTCGGTATAGAAGCCCTAGTGACGTATAAACACGCTTTAGGATGTATATTTGCAAATCAGATCCCGATGCAAAGCTGATAGTATTATACTAACGGTAGCCCCTGAGGCACGAGACCAGTCACTTTCTATCTAGAGCGGAGCACACACGATAAAACGCCTATAAGAAGGCGTATGATAGAATAGTAAAAACGGAAAAGGCTTGATTAAAATAGATGTAAGGTCCAAGGTTATTTTTAGTTACTTACCTACCTGGTACCTAATGTATATCTCGAAAAAAGCGATCTACGTGGCCCTCTTACGACCGCATCTTCGCCGAGCTAACTTCTAGCCTCAACGCATCGTACTGCACGTACACAGAGTTAGGCAGCACCGCGCTCTCGTAGTTGATCGCGTTGAACGGCAAGCTCAACACGATCCTATTTTCACCCTCCTTAAGCAAGGCCGCATCGAAGACGAACTTGTTCGCGATGTTGTAGCAGATGACTGCAGAGCGCACCGCGCACGAGCTGCTGTGATGCCACCTACCGAAGCCGTTAGCGACCCCGAAGGGCGGAGTGAAACGAATATACGTTAACAGGTAAGCAGAGCTTTTACACGGATAGATGGATATATTACATACGGGATAATCCAGGGCTCGAGATCTTTCCCATTCACGTTAACGGTATATGCCAAGTTGGCATACGGCTCGGAAACGTTGAAGACATCCGTGTTGCCTGCGGCGGTCTTGGCTCCTGCCAGCTGGACAGTAAACGTCGCGTGCTGCTTCTGGTTGATCTGGGACTTTTCCATGTCGAACACGACAGTCCAGTTGTTAACGTTGCCGTCGCCGACGTACGGTTCCGAGCGAAGATAGTTGGCGTAGCCCCCGAAGACGCTCCAGTGCACGTAGTTCAAGTCTTTACCCACGTCGCTCTCGACGACCTTGAACGTCACGCCTTCTGGGAAGTCCGAGACAAAGTCGTACACGGCCCAATAGATCCTGTACTGCTCCGGATGCAGCGGGTGCGTTGGGTCGCGCTCGTAGCCGTGCCGATATTCACCGCTACTCTTGTCGGGCGTGCCTATGCGGAATATCTCTTCCCCTTGGCTCTCCTCTTCCCATTTCACCTGGGTAGTCGCTACTTGGCCGGTACGCACTTCTACATTATCCTGAATGTACTGCCCGAAGATACCATCGGCATAGATCGTAAGCCGATACGTGTCCTCCTTCACCCGAGGGATGGTAGCGTGGCCGCTCTTGTCAATCTCGGCCCAATACTGGTAAGCCTTAGCGTCGAAGACATTATCCTGGAAGTCGACACCATTTTGCGATAGTACGGCGATGGGGTTCTTGGCATTCTCGGGAAGTTCTACTTGTAGCTTCCAGGTCGCGCGCTGCTTGCTCGAGACGTAGTTAGGCACATACTGCGCGATGGAATCGTAGAACTCGGTGTTCCATTCCGGATCGGCGAATTGCGTAGCATCCTCTCGGAGAACCTGAAGATCGGTCCCGGCTGGGAAGTGATTAAAATAGAAGTATTGCTGATCCAGTCAGATTAGGCGCAGAGAGAGTACGAGATTGAGTTTTGAACTTACTGGGCCGAATGTGCGGTCAAACCCATTGGTAATGTTCGGCTGTTAAGTTGTTAGCGTCCTGGTACATCCCAATAGTGAATATTAAACTTACTGTTTGGTCTCCGTGATGGTTCGAAACTAAGTCTTCAGTTAGTGACTTAATTTTGTGATATGAATTGTTACCAACTAACCCATATAATCATACACAATTCCGTCGACTACCAAATCAGAGTGTAGAGGACCTCCGAAGTAGGTTTCTTTCGTGTTCATAACCATCCACTGTAAACATACAAGTCAGAACTTGTGCCTACGGGTATATTTCCTCTTTCATCCCGTTCCGAGTCATGAGATTCGTACGCTCATGGCTTGTCAACGTTCAACTAGTTATCTACTTACAGCTCCAAATGTAGAATTATCCGCTATTTGGGACCCGTCAGCGTACCTATCAGGCCATATCAGTGTATAGTTCACTCAGCCGGCCAGAACTTAACTCACATTCCATGAGCGTCATGATTTCTCCATGTATCCTGGAAGGTATATTTAGTGAAGTAATCTGCCTCCTGCTGAACGTACAGGTCATCGGGCGTGTTACCCAAGTACCACGTAGCGTCTGTGACACTCCCGTAGTTAGTATATTTCCGAGTGCGATGACTTCACGTGTAAAAGAATACGAAGCAATGTTTCGGGCACGCCCGAAACAACTTTTTTTTCTCCCCGAGCCTCCGGCTTGCGGGGCCTGTTCGACGTCGACCTTATTAATTGCCGACCTACTGACCTTGCACAACAACTTGGTCCTTCTTAGCTTCCTTGCCAGGAAGCGGCGCGTACTGTACTCCGTTAGTCGCGAGGTGCGTCCATATATCCGAGTTCGGACGGAATAAGGTCCGAAATTCTTGCAGATTGCGCAAGAACGGGGTCGTCTCGTTGTAGTACGCAATACGTGAAAACACATGCAGGCCTGTCTCGCCGTCCCTGATGAACCAATACTGCTCGAGAACCTGACCGGTAGGGGTGTATGTGTCGGACATCTTGATACCTCCGAAGCTAGTGCCTGTCGAGTCTGTGCCGGAATATAGCTCATACTTCGGTTGCGTGGATCCGGGCGTCCAGAAGCCCTCCGGAGTACTTGATTAGGTTCAGCACGTTACGTTACTTTGAAAATGTTTCATGTGTTACTTACCAGTAGCAATCTAAGTTGAATATGCCGGTAGATCCTGAACGCGTGCCCAGCAGGTTCTGACCGTCCAGCACGACGGCATCCATGGCACCAGAGGCCTTGTCGACACGTGTGTATAGTCGGTCATTCTGGATGACAAGCTGGGTTTCATTCTCGGTTGCTACCACTTCCGCGTAAGCATACCTGGAAAGAGATAAGAGAATGAGACATGACCGAGATACTATCCGGGACAGCATCTTGAGTCAACTTTCAAGATTCGGACGCGTGACAAAAAGAGCATATTAGCCTACCTTGTAAAGAGGATTTTTAATGAGGCTGCTTGTTTATATTGCCGATCTTCGGAATTGTCTTGAAGCGAAATCCCCAGGCTAAGATGTTATTTACACATATTTACCTAGGTAATTATTCCACCTACTAAACTAGGGGATTGGGGAAAAGAAAGCGTGAATATACGTGAATGCGGGGGAGTTTGTGGGGTGAGGTTTAATATTAATCGTGGACGCTCGTTTACCGGCACATGGCTGCGGAGAATGGAGTTGGAGAGAGGTCATGGGTATTATTCGGTGTTCGGCAGAAGATATAGCGAGATTGTTAAGTGAGTTGAGCGGTTGACGTCGACTTGTATTTTGTGATCAGAAGCTTTACGAGTAAGACCCAGCTGTTGAATCTTGATATTTTGATATTATAATATTTTGATATTTTTCTCAGCCTGAAAATAACCTTTGACGATGTCTCAGTTTGTTGTGGAGATTCTGGGCTGCCTTGCGTGATGAGGAGCTGAAAAGGGCAGCTGTAGATCATTTGAGATCGCTGGTGCAACTGATAATTTGGGACATATGATCTATGGAGTAAGATCTAATAGGTTATGCCTAACTTTCCGTAGGGATCCCGTAGTTCAGATGACTTTTAGCTGGCATTCGCGTGGTGTAGCCAGGTTCTGTTATAGACTCTACTCTCCCTTGTCACTTTCGGCTTTGTTTCCAGTCAGCTGGATCTGAGTAGTAGTTTTAGAGTTTTAGTAGTTTGAGCGATTTGTCAAGAATGATGTTTGTAACTTGTTTTCTTTTTCTCGCAAAAAAAAGAGACGACCCAGGGAGTTGTTGATGATATCGGCTTTACTCAGGACTCATGACTATGAAGTACCGCTGAACGTGTGTGCTTATACGCGCTTGTATGCCTCCCTTTGTAAGGCAAAACATATACACCTAATAATAGAAGATGATATAGGTTAACTACCTAAGGTAGATATTGTACAGGATTGACGCATGTGGCTTTTGGAGTTACTGTTGTACAAATTGGACGGATCGGGTTCCATGTGAGAGCCTTGTGGGAGCCGGAACGAAGAGCAAACTCTAATAGTCTAATAGTTTAAGTGTTTAGGTAATACCCGACCCGCCATATGACCCCACCGCTAAACTCCTTTATCTAATAGGTTGTAGCTATTTGACGTGTAACACCTAGTGCTTCGTACCAAGGTACAATACCTAGCTAAGAGACCCGAATAGGGGAAATCCACACTTAGAACAAATTCGAAATGGATTAAAAGAAAATCCGTTATCTGGCATAACTTAGATAACTTAGATCGGTACCTTAATCAATGCAGCCTGGGCCCTGGATAACCCCGGTTTCATCTAAACGCCTTGAGAGACGTGCCACCGAAGAAAAACAACTCAACATCGTCTTTTCTTTCAAAGTTCAGGTTCGGCGGCTATGGCGGGCAATTGGTTTACCTCGAATTGCCAAAGTGATACGAAGGCCACGAGGTCGCCTGCAGCCATCCGAAGAGTATTCTTGTGACCATATGGGGTTTTCTGTTATTTTCACTTTTTTATTTTTATTTCTCCCTTTTTTTCGAATACGGGATGAGTCCCATGAGTCCCAAAACGATCTGGTCTAAAAAAAGGGTCGACAAGATCTAAAGTGGACTCTCAAAGTGTATGAGTGGACTTCTGAGTGGACACTTAGATGACCCTACCGCTCCCGGGAATTATTATTGTTGCTAACTTGCCCATGCAACAACCGCAACACCAGGTCTAGCATCAAGTTTAGCATGAGGATTATGCCTGTTCTGAAACACAACACAACCCTATCGGAGATCTTAATTCCTCTGCCACAAGCTTAACCCGGCATTTCTTGCTAAACACTACCTGACCTTGACAGACACTGTTCATCCCTTTCCTCGATTAATAGCGTATACCACTGGAACTCCCCAACTGGAACTACCAAATGTCTACCGTGGCCTGCGCACCGCCAATCATCCAATGCCGCGATCATCCTCATTGGGGTCCAAGAAGCGCGCCCGCTGGCTCGGCTCGCACAGAGCTCTGCCTGGTCCTTCCTAGTCCCTTCCTGGTCCTACCAGCCCTACTGCTAACCTGATCTACGGGTCGCCGAGACGACCCACGTCTGGAATTTGCATTATTACCTCTTTGTATATACCTTAGGTACCTTACCTGATCCGATCCGTGGCAGGCTCATGTGAGTATGTTGTGAGTATGTTATGCACGTATTTTGTACCCGATGTTGGATGTGAGCTCGATGCCAGGGGTTGTTCTTTCCATGGCACGGTCCACATTATCGTTACTCTCCCTTAATATCCTGTGACTTGGGAAACTGAGATCGACTTTTGACATTTACATTCACTTCTCACTTGATCCAGTGGCGATTCACAGTCTTTACCTACATATTTGTTTTTATATTTAAAGTCGCTCTTTTGCCAGCAGGTTTCTGGAAACTTTCTATTCCCCATACGAAACGTATTCCTTTCCTTTTATAGCATCATTCATCATGGTTTCCTCTACATTCGTAGGCTCCCTGGCCTCCAGGGCTATTTTCTTAATGTCTAGTCACATCACCCACCGCACAGACTCGGCGACATATGCTTCATACAGTGTCGACGGGCTGAAAGCTTTGCAAGGCTGGTATAATCGCGAGACTGGTCTCTGGGATACCACTGGGTGGTGGAATAGCGCCAATTGCTTAACTGTGTTGGCCGACTTTGCTGTCATCGATCCGGCAGCTTCCACCAGCTTGAATATCCCAGAGATTATTCAGAATACCGTGAGTAGACGAGGAATTTTCAGTTCCCCTTCCCATTGCCCCCCCTTAGCTTTGCTTAAGCGCCTAAATTACATGAAACATGCCGTGCTATCCAAATAATATCCGAGATTATTTGCGCCAAGAGTAATTTGCTAATTCAAAGCGCCCATAGTACGACCAAGCGCAGAAGACACCAGTAAAGGCGACCAAAATTCTGTCCCCGATAGGACTTCCTGTATCATCGTACATCAGAGTACCAGCGTCAAAAAGATCAGAGCTTAGCAAGAGGGGGTTCGACAACTTTCTCAATGATTATTATGACGATGAGGGCTGGTGGGCCTTAGCCTTGATCCACAGCCATGACGTTGGTGTCAAGGGTATGGGAGATCAGGAGTACCTCCAAGCCGCAGTGGACATATTCGAGGATATGAAGAAGGGTAACTCTACCTGCGGCGGTATCTTCTGGAGCAAGGTGACCCCGTATACCAATGCCATCGCAAATGAGCTTTACCTAGCCGTTGCAGCATCCCTTGCGAACCGGATACCCTCTCGGAAGGATTACTTCTTGGATGTCGCCAAAACTCAATGGGACTGGTTCAAGAAGAGCGGTCTGATTAACAAGGATAATTTGATCAACGACGGACTTACCGATGACTGCAAGAACAACGGCATGAATACCTGGACTTACAACCAGGGCGTTATTCTAGGTGGATTAGTGGAGCTTTCCAAAGCTACAGGTGACAAGTCACTACTCACCACGGCTCAGACTATTGCTTCAGCTGCTATTACCAAGCTGTCGAAGGACGGTATTCTCTTCGAGGGCTGCGAGCCGGACTGTGGCAGCGACGGCGCACAGTTCAAGGGCATTTTTATGCGTAACCTACACTATCTACAGGCAGCGGCGCCTATGGAACCCATCAAGAACTTCTTGCTTACGAACGCGGATACGATTTGGGCTAAGAACCGCAATGACAAGAACCAGCTTGGAACTACTTGGGCAGGACCTTTTGGTAATGCGACAGCGGGTACACAAAGCTCTGCCTTGGACACCATAGTGGCGGCGGCAGCGGTGGCTTGATAACCTCGCCGCTGGATGGGATGGGAACACATAGGCGAATTGGCGTTCAGGGATAATTGGCACGGGATGCTAGTAGATACCATTCATTATCATTATGATTCTTATTATTAGTCACATGAGCACCGCAGCATCAGACTAGGCGGCCTTTCCAATTAGTTATTTAATTGGTAATTAGTATAGTTAATTAGATAGTCTCTATGTAATGAGCCAAGCGAAGACTCACAATCCTTCACCAAACTTGTATTCTCTCCCTTATTCACCAATGAAAACCGAGCGGCAGGTTTGCCTTACGCGAAAGTCACTTCGTCGTTAGACAGAAAAAAAACACGCAATACGTAATACGTGTTCAAGGACGTTTTGGTACGGCGCCACCTATGTACAGAATTTCAGGCTCGGCCGGCCGATCGCAACGTCCCTGTGGTCCGTGAGCTGGCCCCAACGACAACTATGATCGTCGTTGATTCTGAAAACTCGTTCGACCGGTTGAAGTTGAGGATGATGATCGACGTCATTCATAGCCCACAAGACCCTCCCCCCCTTTTTTTGCCCCGCGGAAGAGGGCTTGGGAAAGGGGTTGCGATCAACGGTGGTTTATACCCGCTATTCGGGAAAATAATGTACGTAACGTACCCTATTGTATAAGTTATTTGGTTTAGGGGTTTAGGGGTTGGGAGTGGGTGGGTGGGTGGTATTGGGATGATAATGATGATGGTGATGATGATGCGTTGGGTAAAATCCCCCCCTTCATCTCCAAGAAATCTATCTCCCTTTTCAAAGGCCCCTATTCGCTCTAGGTTTTTGGAGATTATAACATGTCGCTTGTTATACATCCCTACCTAACCTAACTTTGGGCTACTGACTGCTACCTTCTATGGCAATATGGATGCATGCTCCCTGCCCATGTGCTTCTCCACGTCGCATTAGGTAATTTTCCACGTCCCGTGCCTGCATACATACATGACTGCATGGCGCTGCGTGCGTAGGTACTATGCTACGGCGCCGCTTCGGCAGTACGCGAGGCTGTCTAAATGAAACTCGGCCGCGTCTGTTGGACTGCTTGGGTCTTGGCGCGATGGAACGTTATTCCCAGGTCTACGATATTACCCGTCTCATTTCCCATTTCTGCTCGCCTCGTCGTTAAAGGTGCGTTGGGAGTAATTTATATATATTGGCGGGCGTCGAAGTGCCGACACCTGTGTAAGTGTAAGTTGTGAGTGTAAGTGTGGTGATACATATCTTACATACAGGACGTTGAGGAGACGGATGGTGGTGGTGGTGGTGGTGCATCTGGGAATAAGGCCGTGTTTTAATTGCTACATGGAGAGGCCAGTAGACTATCTCATCCTTCCGGCATATCGACGCCGATATATCGACGGGCCGGAGCCCTTATTGCTATTGAGAGGATCTGGATGAGCTTTGCTTCATCTAGACACGGTGTCAACAACGATCTCCGATAATAGAAATGACTTAGAGTGAGAACTAGTGAGGAAGCACGTATTGTCCCAGCAACCTATACTCGAGGGCTACCAGCTCACAGTTCTCTTGCAGAAGTCTTCAGCTATTCATTCTCCACCCCCCGTAACGCTCGTAACATTCGTAACTAAGGTTACGTAGGGCGAGGGCTTGTGTTTACCTAGCGTGTCTTATTCGGAATAATTGATATCGTCACGAGTGAGCTAAGTCAAGTGTCTCCCAGCGGGTGTCTCACACAAATCTCTATTTACGGAGAACACGAGGCTATCTAAGCTAGAGGTGAAGATAAATATGACAGCAACGCATTCCAACATTTAAATTTGTTAAGACAAGCATGTAAGTGGCTTCTCGGTAACGATACCGATTCATGGCCAGCGGCTTGGAGATCGTGGGTCTCCCGGCAACTACATGCACAGCGCCGCATGCCTGGTCAGACAAGAATTTTATACATAGGTGCACCTATAGGGAGCGTAAGAGGGTTTCTACTTGGATTAGGTGTAACTAGTTGAATATTATACCTATCAAAATAATTTTAGAGTGAATAGCACGCCGGGAAAGACATCCAACTCCGTTGCCCTGGTGCTATTTGGAACCCTTGGACAGCTTCTTTCACATGAGCATATTGGCACCGAGAAACCGTTACATGCAATGCAGTCTTGAACTAATAATAATCTTAAGACTCCGATACCTTCTTAGGTATCTAAGTGTTGGTTTAAATAAAATCACATAAGTTCTTATTTCCACTAGGTACCTACGTCTTGCTTGATCCTCAACCACGAAGCCCGAACCAAACTTACGTGAGATCTCCCACAATCCGCCTCCGATTTACCCCAAAGCCGTGGTCCGTCCTATCGGGCACCGACACGGGCAGCGAATAACAAATCTACCTAGGGACCTAAATTAGGTACCTAAGGTAGTATTCATAATGTCCGTAAGGCTCCTTGCTTGATTGTTATTTGTCCCTCAACACCTGGGATTCTCACCATATATAGGTATCTTGTGTAACCTCGGAAGGATGAAATGACATGACATGACATGACATGGTATAGCATAGCATAGCATAAACACCAAGCCTTCCTCTTCCTTCCGAGGGAAACAAACCTCATCACTTCAATCCAATGTATGAGATGACCGGGAATTACCTACCTACCAGGTAGGTAGGTAGCTAGACCTCCCTACCCGACCTAAGGACACCCGACCATCGTAATTTGCACCACGCGAGCGAGCAAGGTACACGAGCAACAGCAACACAAGGGCGTCAATGACCAATTTGCCAACGCTTAGTATTGTACCAAAAAAAAAACCGGGATGCAAGGTAAGGTACCTAGGTAAGTAAGGTAAACAACTGACCATAACCACACCGCCGATTCGCGATCATGAATGATACTATACTGTACTATGTATGTTTCGGACGTCTACGTCAGCCTCTCCTGAGCCCTACGTGTTTGTACCACGCAAGGGGGAGGGGGAAGCGCCTGTGGTAGGATCTCCACAACAACAACAACATCCGAACCCTAACAGAGAATCAAATGTTATGTAGGTACCTACCTGTAAGGTAATTTATTAAAAAAAAAAAAAAAAAAAAAAAAAGGACGGGAAACGCGGGCTTGCGTTCGCCGGCGGAACACCGCATGTTGGTCTGTGAAACGAAAGCGCCATGATTCTTCTTTTACTTGATTTTAAATTCCATATTAGTTACTTGCAAAATGTTGAACGCGAGATGAACATCTCGCTACGGAATACACCCAACTCCCCATGCACCAAATATTAGCTTTCCAAAGCTATTAGCAATACCTAGCCCAGAGAACGCGCTGTTGACCTGCCATTTGATCCACCAAGAGCTGACACCCAACAAAGGCAGTGAGTGTACTGAAAATATTGCCACTTTTATCCCCAAGTACCACCTCCTCCGCCAGATCGTCCAACTTTTCGCTGGGCACTGAGTCTCCAGTCGTCTTCCGCTGCATATTTGTTATACAGCGGCTGGATCCTCTCAGCCTTCTTCCGCTTGCTGAGCTTATCCGTAGGTGCAACCTTGAAGAATGTCGGTGCTGCTTGGACAAGCCATTTTGGCTCGATGCTAGTTGTATAATGCATATATTCCTTCGTGGTGAGGACCAGCGTGTGATAAATTACCCACTCAGCTTGCTTTCCGAATAATGCTGAACTTGGATGTAGATAGACTGGCGTACCCTCGACTAAAGTCTTGTACCCTTCTTGCGGATCTTTCCTTGCCGAGTTGCGAAAGAAGCCAGAACATAGAGCTTGTCTAACCTTTTGAGTATCTCGGCCACATGAAGTGATAGGATGTCGATAACGTTGCATGATTTTAGCTATCTGCTCGCGGACATCCTTTGCGCGTCTCATCGAACGTGCTTGGATAAAATTCTCAAAGCACCAAGGAGCCGAGTAGCCACTGTGTTTCCAGGCGTTATAAACATTGAGAAGGGTAAGATGATCGCCAGATGGATCATGGAATTTGGCCTTCTTTTGGTCAGCTTGGGTTTGCTTTTCCTTCGGTCGATAAAACACGTTGAGATTTAACATCGCAACGATGCTGAGCATCTCGTCGGAACAATTCATATCGACAGCGGCGATTAGAACCTTAGCTAGAGCAGGTTCCATAGGGAAATCGGCCATCTTACGACCAAGACGTGTTAATAAGCCTTCGTCGTCCAACGCTGAGAGGGCGTATAATTCTTCTAAGGCGGTCAACATGGTATTTGTAGGTGGCGGGTCCATGAAGTCGAAGTGAAGGAGATCGTTGATGCCCATAGCCTTGAGCATGAGGATTGTATTTGCTAGATTCTGGCGCTGGATCTCTGGAATGGTGGTCGGAAGCATTTCGGACTGATAGGCAGCCTCAGTATACAATCTAAAGCATTTGCCAGGACCAGTTCTTCCGGCACGACCAGCACGTTGGTTGGCCTGAGCTTGTGAAATGGGTGTGACAACTAAAGAATCCATGCCGAGCTTCGGGTCATAAGCATTCTGCTTAACGAAGCCAGGATCCACAACGTAGTAGATGTGATCGATTGTAATAGATGTTTCGGCAATATTGGTGGCTATTACAACCTTTCTACTGCCAGGAGGTGCAGGATCAAAAATTCTGCTCTGCATCTCGCTAGGGAGTGCTGAGTAGACAGGAAGAATAATGAGTTCAGGGACACCTGGACCAAGGGCCTTCATGCGTTCGTAAAGAATTTCTGCCGCCGTGTCAATTTCCTCCGAGCCTGTAAGGAAAACTAATATGTCTCCGGGTGGTTCTGTCAAATGGATTTGCATGACCGTCACCAAAGCTGCATCGAGGTAGTCGGACTCAGGTTCTCTGCTGTACAATATCTCGACAGGGAACGTGCGACCAGGAATGGTGAAGATGGGACATTCGTTAAAGTACGCCGAGAATTTGTCGGCGTCCAGAGTAGCCGATGTAACAATTATCTTCAAATCGCTTCGGCGCTTTACCGTCTTCTTGAGAAGTGCGAAAAGAACATCAGTTGCGATAGTTCGCTCGTGGGCTTCATCCAACATAATGACTGAATATCGCTTGAGGTCGGGATCCAGCAGAATTTCACGTTCCAGCATACCGTCCGTCATGTACTTGATCTTGGTCGCAGGACTCGTGCAATCCTCGAAACGGATAGTATAACCCACTTCCTGACCTAACTGGCAGCCAACTTCCTCTGCGACTCGCTTCGCCACAGACATAGCTGCGACTCGACGTGGTTGTGTGCAGCCTATCATGCCATTGTTGGTAAAGCCAGCCTCAGCAAGGTATTGAGTAAGTTGAGTGGTTTTGCCGGATCCAGTCTCGCCGACGACAATTAGGATCTGATTCTCCTGCACAGCTTTGATAAGTTGACTTCGGAAAGCAAATACTGGCAAGCTCTCTCTTTGCTGCTTGATAGACATGGTGGTCCGTTTACCAAAAGATTGATCTTTAGGTGCGACTGCTTGCTTCCATTCAGGCACGGCGTCGGGCTTTGGTGCTGTTGATTTTGTAGCGCGTAAATCGCTAGCAAATTTCCTGCTGTCGGGGTTTGCCATTGGGTCCTGCCACTGAGAGGCAAGGTCGACTTTCGATTGCTCCTGCGCTGCTTCCACTTCTTGCTGCCGTAGTTCTTTTCGTTCTTTCGCTAGTGCAGTACCAGACATTGCTGCCCGATTTAGTGAACCATCTGGGGCCTTGACTACCCTAATCGGTGACAATTCTAGTGATTGTTTCGTCTGGCCGGTTAGGAACGGGGGCTCCTCCTCCCTCACTTCAATGTCAACTTCTTCTTCTAGTTCCATCTCGCCTTCCCCTCTCAACGTAGCATTATAGTCTTCTTCCAAATCGGGATAATCCGAGGCCTTAGCAACGCCCGAAGCAATAAGTTGCCGAATCTCCCATCGCTCCGGGGAAGTCATCCTCTTTTTATGAGGTCGCGGTGGTCCGTTATAATTAGAAAGAGCAGCCAGATTGTCGTCATTCCGACGGGCTACACCATTCCGACTGCCAAGCGACTCCATATTCGCACCCGACTGTATTCTGGCTTGGGGTGCAAGGTCCATACCTGTTTCCTGGTCGACGTCCTTCATGGATAGTCCTATCCTGTTCTGCTCCATCTTGATGACTTTGACCTTGACGTCCTGCCCCTTTGATAATAGGTCCGAGGGATGGTTGACTCTTTGGCCTTGTACCAGATTTGAGATATGTACCATTCCGTCCACTTTGCCCTTAACACCGTGTAAATTGATGAATGCGCCAAAATCCCTAATGCCAGTGACATGACCGTCGTATACCTTGTATAATATAGGCGAATCGTCGACTTCAGGTTCGGGGGCATATTTCAGCCTACGATCATCGTCGTCCTCGTCGTCATATTTCCGTCTTCTCTCTCTATCCCCATTGCGATATGACCGGCGTTCGTCGCGTTCATCCCTTCGACCCCGTTCTTTAAATCCATTTCTATAATCATTATTATCATCATCATCATATCTCCGATCCCTAGATCGATATCTCTCCTTTCTCCTATGTCCCGAATCCGTACCGTCTTCCCTCTCGGGACTACGCGACCGTTTCCTCGATGGTCTTTCCGAACGCGCGCCTTTCGCTTTACTTTCAAGCCCTTCTAGGAGGGCTAATGTATCATCGATATCGTCTCCGTTTGTAGCTTCGACTTCCTTGTCAGGGATGCTAAGGCCCTTAAATAGTGTCTCTTTCTCCTCGAGCGTCCGAGTTGGTTGATGTTCTTCCGCTGCCATTTCCTTGGTGGCTTTAAACTTGGGGTGCATGGTCCGGACCAGACGGTCAACGCTGTCGAATAAACTGTCAGGCCAGCTTGCACCGCCTAACTCGGCCAACTTGCTCTTGAACTCGGAAAAGCTGCTGCATTCTAATCGCTTTGCAATGATAAACTCGGCCAACGTCTTTTCGGAAATACCCAAATGATTCTGTAGCTCGGAGGTGACCTTTGATACGAGCGATAGAAGCTCGAGCTCGGCGAAATCGTCGTCCATGATGTTGGCGGCTATCAGGGAGATATGGGAGATGATTCGGTTGGAAAGAGTCGTAGATAAAGGTCAGCGCAAGTTTCTCGAGGTAGAAACAAGCAACGATTTATCAAATCGCTCGCATTTCATGTCGGTGTAGGAGATGCGTGGCGAGTCACTATATTACATGAGACAGGGTTATGTACGTTGCCGTCGCGTCCTGTCGTTTTGTCTTCATACATATAAAGAAGGCGAAAAAAAGTCAAGGTTCGTGTACATGTAATAGTTAAGCTAAAAGCCAAGTCAAGATCCGCGCCACGCCTTGCCTGCTCGTGCTTCGTGGCTGATGATGCTCCCCGCTGTGTTTAAACTTTACAGGTACATAGTTTAGGTACGTATTGTACCTTGTACCTATTATGTAAACCGTAAAGCCCCGCGAAACTTTAATCTGATTTAGGTACCTAACCTTATCAGGGAGGTAACTCACCATGCACTTAAACGGGCACCTTAATACCTCTTTTCCCAATATCCGAGAATCTCAGGTCCCCCCTTCGGATATTCCGTGTTCTTACAATTGTACGATCAAGACTTACACCAAGTCGGTAATCCGTGCGATAATTCTACCCGAGCCCACGAGCCACAAGCCACGGGAATTTACAATTATTACATCAATGAGGACCATCGAAGGCTACCCGTCGAAATGCCTAATAAGGAAATTTGTTTGGTTCGGAGACTTTCCGATTGACTCATTGCGTTACCCCAAAGCCAAATCCTTTCCGAGTCTCATGCTCAACATGACTTCTGTTATAGGCCAGTTGCTTTGCCGTTGCAATCTATCTTCTTACTCGTTGGTCTACATCGTGTATATTCCCATCCCTCATCATCTTTTTTTTGCTTTTTCTTTTCTTACTTTTCCTCTTATCGTTCCTCCGGCGAGTAAGAAGAGCTCATAGTAGCACATCCCGGATGAGGTTAGGCTGCTTACACTCCACTATGCTGCGCTATCCATATGCAACTTTAGGCGTTGTCTACCCGGATCTAGTCAAGTGACTCAAGTGACTCAGTCGGTGAGAAGAACTGTAACCCACCTCAGATAGAGATATCGAATAGCTGTGGTAAGCACAAAAGCGCCGGTGTAACGGTGTAGATCTACTTCCTACTTAACGGAGTATGTAGGTAAGGTACCTAAGGTATAACCACGTTCACCACACAATCCGGTCAGAATAGCCTCAGGCATTTTAAGAGGGATGTTTCCTCTCTTGGCAGGGGTCCCGTTCTAAACTAGGCTCCGAGCCTATCCCACCTGTAGTTTATCGCCGAGCACGCAATTTGCCTGCGTTGGTACCGAGTTATTAATTAACCGAGTAACAGGTTGGATCTTCCTTAATGACTACATAGTATATAGCATGGAACTTCATAGCATGTCGATCAATTGAGCGTCGGATCTATCACAACCCACGATATTCAGGTGTTCAAGTTGTAGTCTCTGCTATGAGAAATCATGGATCAAGCCAGCTTCAAACACTACGGTTGGGACGCGGTTCCTCTCCGCTCTCAATCACTTATAACTTTAAAGAGCATCTATGAGAAGGACAGGTTAGTTTTCATCCGGCAAGAGGCCAACGTTCTATTAGCTGACACCCCTCTCTCTAGTGCCACAAACCTTCAATGGGTTTACGTCCTTTCTCATTTTGCCAAAACTGGCTATCTACAACTTACTATTGTTGTTGCGTCCTTCTTTGTTCTTATCAGATATCTGCTTCGCCGCCCCTACTCTAAGGTTTCTAGACCTGAAGGGAATATTCATGGAATGCCATTACTATTTGAGCTATCCAGCCAGATCTTACGAGCCGCCGCTCTGGCTTTCGCCATCGTTGCCGCAATTCAGAATGCAGGCCGATGGACTGACGTTACTGCCGTGGCCTACGCTTTCATCCTTGGAATTTTGCGACTAATCAATGATGTAGAGTGGAGGCATGTCGCCCTCCACCACGTTAATACTATTCTTGCCGGTTCTCTGCTCATTCTTGTCGTAGAGGAACTTCTTCCGTATATTGACGCGGACTTTTCCAAGGACTTGAGCCCAATGGTAATCTGTAGCGTATCAACTTTGGCTGCTGCTGTTTTGGTAGCTCTTGTCACACCAAGAGAATGGACGCCGCCATCGTTGAATCTTGATTTCAACGAGGAAATATCAATCAAAGGGCCTTCTCCCGAAGAGACCTGCAGTTGGTTAGAGTACTTTGTAACGTACGAATGGCTTACACCTCTCATGCTCAGGGGTATGCGTCGACAAGTGACTCTCGATGAGCTTCCCACACTCCCTTGGTATGACGATCCAAAACTTCTCCTTACTAGGATCAAGCAGGCACGCCCGAAAGGAAAGACCACATTATGGACTATAATTCACTTCGTACCAAAGGAGATTACCGCTATGAGCCTCTGGACTACATTCGCTTACCTTTTCGAACTTATAGCTCCGTACGCTATGTATAAATTACTCGGCTTCCTAACCAACCCCGAGAAGTCTCTACTTCGACCTTGGGTCTGGTTAGTACTCCTATTTGTTGGTCCACTATCGCGCTCCGTGTGCTATCAGCAATACATCTTCACATCAACTCGTTTAGTTGTACGCGTCAGAACCGCATTAACGCAAGAGCTGTATTATAAAGCGATGGACTCGATGGAATTAGACGATGATGTATTCGCGGAGATTGCTACCATGGGCAAAGGTCAAAAAATTAAGCAGGGTACTACTTTGACGGGACGCTTGGCAAACCTCATGGGTGCTGATATAGAAGCCATCGTAAGGGCTCGAGACATTGTTCTAGTAATCTGCGGATTACCAGTCGGGACGACTGTGGCTCTCTGGGGCCTTTATAAGCTGTTGGACTGGTCAGCGCTTGTTGGCATTGTTGTAATGATATTGCTATCACCCCTTCCATTTCTGATCGCCCGACGTATGGTAAGTATCCAACATGACAAGAAAAGAATACAAGACTCGAGAATTTCGGCTGTCTCAGAGTATCTGGCCTCGATTAGAGCGATTAAGTATTTCTCTTGGGAAGATGCTATCATCAATCGAGTTAACGAGATTAGGTTTAGTGAGCAAAAGAAGATATGGTCCATTAATCTGCTGTAAGTTGTGCTATTCCCAACATGAGCTTGAGATATTCTGTTCTAATGGCCAAATTTCTAGTTATATCGCACTCAACCAGCTTACAGAGGCTATCCCCAACCTATCACTAGTCCTCATATTCACCTTGCAGGTACTAGTACGTAAGGAGCCCCTGACTGCAGATGTTGCTTTCACAGCAATAACGTTGGTCCGGACGCTACGCCGAAACCTATCACAAGCATCCCAGATGTCGCGAGATTTTATAGCTGGAAGCGTCTCTCTCAAACGTGTAGACCGTTACTTCAATAACACTACACCCTTGCATTATCATCCAGTTGGCCCGCTTCAGATCGCCAATGCTACTTTCAGGCGCAACAAGAACGCATCGTTTGCCTTGAAAGATATCTCTATCGATTTCGTCGAGGGCGGGTTAAACGTAGTAACGGGCCCAAGCGGGAGTGGGAAGTCAACACTCCTCTTGTCGATTCTTGGCGAGACTATTCTCGAGAGCGGCGAAATCACATGTCCCAAAGATATCGCCTATGCGTCCCAGAGCCCCTGGCTGCAAAACGAGACAATCCGCGACAACATCCTCTTCAACAGCCCCTTCGAGCAGGTGCGATATGACCGAGTGATAAACGCCTGTGGCCTACCGATCGATTTTAATGAGTTCCCGGAACGAGACGGTACTGAAGTTGGCGAGAACGGTGCCTCGCTATCCGGAGGCCAGAAATCTCGAGTCGCTCTCGCACGGGCACTTTACTCGAAGGCCTCTGTGATTTTACTTGACGACGTATTCTCTGCTTTGGATTCTAAGACGTCAGCGTTGTTATGGCAGGAAGCTTTCTGCGGAGACTTGCGTATGTATACCTCTCTAAACCTGTTTAGAATATCCATCCCCGATCCTACTTCCAAGTATAGGTTATTCTACCAAGATATTTTGGCATGATTGAAGCATCATATATTTTCAAAAATGCATTTTAGCCTAACCTCCTCTAACTATTGCAATTATAGTCAAAGGTAGAACAGTCGTTCTTGTCACTCAAATGCCGTGGATTGCGCCTCAGGCAGATCTCTCAATAACTTTAGAAAATGGCTCGATTAAAAATGTCCAGCAGAACCTCGGCGTGGTTCGCGAATCTGTCACACTAGCTTCAACGACTCTTGGTAATGGAAACATCGATGTGACCGCAGAAACAGTCACCCCTACCGACACTCAGAGCAATGGTACAACCACCAATGGAAATAAACCTAATGGTGACATAAAAAGCGCCCAGGATAGAAACCGCGATGAAGTAACGCAAGAAGCTATGCGGACTGGACAAAGCGCTCGTTTACAATGTGAGTGTTACCATTGACCGTGCCTATATTACCCAAGTGGTAAAAATCAACTAATGGCATATCTTTCAAGTCTTCCAATACATGCGGCTCTTTGGCAACCCGTTCTATGCCATGCTTGCCATCGTAATGAGTACTCTCTCTACTGCCACGTTCGTGGGGACAGGACTGTGGATTGCAGTCTGGGTTGACGCGTATGGGAAAGACGATGCATATGATATTGGGTTTTACCTTGGTATCTACGCTTTATGGAGCGCTGCAGACGCCATCTTTAATGGCTTGACCTATATTGCATACGAGAACGGCGGATGGTATGCCGCGCGATCACTACACTCTACGTTCATCAAAGCTATGATGAGCGTTCCTCTCTCCTGGTACAAGGCGACGCCCGTTGGCCGGGTTGTCAACCGGTTCTCGCGGGACATGGATTCCATCGACGCAACGCTGGCTGGAAGTAAGTCAATCTTCTTCTCAAACCCCTATTTCGTTGCCGTAGCGTTTGTTCTATGCGAGCAAACATACTGATGCTCCGCGAACAATACGTCTCCACCATCATCACACTTCGTAAGCTAATTCTCTTTGATATAGTGCTCAGGCTATGCGTCGAGATGGTCACACGGCTCGGCTTCCAAGTTGCAGCCGTCGGTTCTGTGCTTCCCATCTTCATGCTACCCGCAGCCGCGTGCTGCGCCGTGGGGATCGCCGCGGGAGAAATGTACACAAGGACCTCGGTCGCGATCAAGCGGCTCGTAGCATCTTCGCAATCACCTTTGTTCGCGCAATTTGCCGACAGTCTAGCCGGCATCGCCGTCATCCGCGCTCGCGTAAACATGCCCCAAATCTTCGGCGACCAGCTCGCAGACAAGCTGCGGGTGGTCGAGAAGACTTGCGAGGCCCAGTACAACTGCAACCGATGGGTGGCGCTCAAGGTCGACATGGCTACCACCCTGGTCACGGTCGCCGCGGGTGCTATCGCCGTCTCCCAAGCTGGTCTCGTAGCAGCTGGTCTTGTCGGATTTTCGTTGACAAACGCAACGGTAAGACAGCCATCGACTTTGAAGCTTATCAGATTTGGCTTGCTAAACTACTCGAAACCAGACACTGAGCCAACTTATCATACTGCTCGTGAGATCAAGCAACGAGCTTGAAATAGAGCTACAGAGCGTAAGTTAGAACTAGGGATTGGTCTCGAGTGGAATAGACATTGACAGAATAGGACCTAGTTCCATCGAGTTCGAGAATATGCCACTGTTGAGCCCGAGGAGAAGCCGGATGAGTACAAGAGCGCAGACGAATATTCTGACGATCCCGAATCTGTCTTGCCCGAGAACTGGCCGAGAAGCGGACAAGTCGAATTCCGTAATGTGACTATTAAGTACGATGTGGATGGGCCAGAAATCTTGAAGAATATTAACCTCAAGTTTTCACCCGGCGAGAGAGTTGCCGTAGTCGGACGAACTGGATCTGGGAAGAGCACTGTAAGTCTAACGCTCTCTCCTACCATCTACGTCCCCTCTCCATTTGCCTTTTAGAATAGTTAGTGTCGTGTTAACTTCTATTTCTTTAAAGTTAGTTTTATCTCTACTGCGGTTCACGAATATCGTTTCAGGGCAGATACTTTTCGACGGCGTGGATATCACCAAGTTCCCGCGCAGGAAGCTCCGAGAAGCGCTTACAATTATCCCCCAGGAGGCAGTTCTGTTTAACGGAGACGTGAGGTCCAACCTAGACCCAACGGGGAAAGTTCCCCCAGAGACGTTGGAGAAAGCTCTGCAGTACTGTAGCGGAATCGCATCCTTCCAATACCATCAAAACGGGGGGCGAGCACAAAACGGCAACGGCCATTCTAACGGGACCAACGGCACCTATTCGGACGAAATACCAAACGACATGGGAATTACTCTCGCCACGCCGGTGAAGCCCAAAGGAGAGAATTTCTCTCACGGTCAACGGCAGGTACTTTCGCTCTGCAGGGCTTTAGTACGCAAGAGCAAGTTGATGCTACTGGACGAAGCAACCGCAAGCGTAAGGATCTTTGCTTCCCCCCTCTCCCCTCCCCTCCCCTCCCCTCCCCTCCCCTCCCCTCCCCTCCCTTCCCCCTTTTTTGTTTTTACCCCTCCTCCCGACCAAACTGCTCACCGCAACTAACGCTCGTTATTGCAGATGGACTACGAAACAGACCAGGGAATCCAAGAAGTCCTTCGAAAAGAGCTGGCCGAGCACGGGCGGGACAGGACGCTTGTCACGATTGCGCATCGCCTGAAGACAATCATCGACTACGACCTCGTGGTAGTTATGAGCGCCGGCTCGACTGTCGAGTACGTCTTTTCTCTCTCTTTATTTTTTTTTAAAAAAAAGGAAAATGGAATAAAATAAATCAACCCGGTATAATTGATGTAAGGTAGCTAACCGATTAACTACACAGAGTCGGAAGCCCGAAAGAGCTCTACGAGGCGAAGGGGCAATTCTACGATATGATGAGGCATAGCGGAGAATATGAGGATCTAGAGAGGTTTCTTACCGCCAAGAAATAAGGCTTTATTATTTATTTATTTTATTTGTCATTTTTTTTCCTGAAGTCGACATAAAATAAGAGTAGAAATGGATACTTCATACGAGGTAGGTACATGAGGTAAATTTGAATATAACGCCGATGATGATGGTAGACGAATAGGAATTAAAATGAATAAATTTAGCATATACGGTATACCCTAGTAGGTACAGTTACCCCTTTCATTCACACGGGCTCCCGCGCTTAACCAGGTTTTTCTTTTAACGGATACCCTTAGTTTACGCCGTGAAGTAAGTTCGGGCGTAACTTTTTTTCTATAAGGTACCTACCTACCTTATATATATACTTCACACCACCATGTTGAAGCGCAGGGTTACATCGGTATGTGAGTGCGTGAGTAAGTAGAGTCGAATTTCTGATTATTCGAGACTCGATGAGCAACGTAAAGGTGCTTCCCCTCTTTTTTTTTCTTCCGCTCTTGGAAAGTATTAAGGCCGCAACAAGAAATTGTAGGTAGGTAGGTAGAAGAGGTAGGTCAGGTAGGGATGAATGGATGGATGGATGGATGGGTGCTGTTGGTCTTAGACATGGACTCCCGACTATCGAATTTCTAGTAAAGATGTATCTCGTCGGCTTTAAGAAAGAAAGACTAGGTTTGATAATAATATAGATAGCATGGTGTGATAGCCAATGTAACTTGCCGCCTAAAATGGTAAGTAATTCTTCCAACCTACCGGCTCATGGCTATCTCCAGACCGGCCCTACCGGTCTATGCAATTCAGTTATCACTTTTCTTTTTTTAGGGGGGGAGAGATCTTAGACAGGTTAAACTAGAATATTCTCAAGGAATATTTCTCAAAAAGAGATGGAGAAGTTTATGCTTTTCCTCTTATCCCGTAATTAATCTTACGTCCTATCACATCGCAATAGCAACAAAACCCGCGAGCCTAATCTTTCCTTTAATTACCTGATTCGCCGTGCGATGGAAGCGGCTGGAAGCGGCCACCGTGTTACAACGGCGGACACCAACGTCGGCCGATCGCATTCTCTTTGATAGATTTTGTCGACAGACTGTCTCAGATTGTGTAACTGACCGCGCGCGACCTCACCTCTACGACAAGCTCTCTAAGCGAGACGGTCAATCTGTATTATATGGTTATGTTAAATCAGATGATTAGACATACGACATTTCGCGTTTATGTATTGTGAATTCCGGGCACCTCAGAAGCTCTTCACGTGAAGCGCGTTAGATCTTTACCTACCTACCGAAGGTACCTAGGTAGAAATAGGTAGCTGAGTGCGCTGAACTCATATCTTGTTCGCGCAACATACTAGGTTCGGCCACAAAGTCGAACTCTCATTGCAACCGCCCGTCTGCTGTGAAACCAAGATTCGGCGGGTGGCCTCGATTCGGGCTAGTACAGGTTTAGATGGGTGCCTTTAGAGGGGATTTGTGATCATTTGATGCAGTTGCGTCTGGGAGATAGCAAAGGTATTTTTGGCCCATCTGCGAGTCCCAGACATTCGGCGCGGTATCACGAAATCAGAGCACAAGCGAGCAGAGGATTTCAGTGGTCAACGATTGTCTGATTCTAGCCTCTCACACAGAAGCCGCCCTGGCCCATGCTGCATGCAGCAGAGAAAAAAAGGAAACCAAGTTGAAGCGAGAACCTCCCGTTCTATCCCGTACCCATTAGCAGATTGCGTGGACTAGAAGCCCATCCTAATAATGGTTTTATCCATCCCGAAGAGCGATTTACTGGACCTTCTTCAGATGAACATCGCTGGAAAGCATAGTTTAGTATTGAACATGATCTCGTACAGCACGTACGCTTTAACTTATGACACTTACAAGATCAAGTCAGCGTTGGGGGGAATGTGGCCAGTGAAGCCTCTGAGCGATTCGTCAGCCCCGCGTCTCTTAATGAGTGTACTGTTGGAAGTCCAGGAGGGGAACAGGTAGAGTAGGTAATAACAGTCTTCCACAAAAATATAATATTTAGCCAAGGAAGAGGCAGGGAGAGCTTACCTGGCTCCATAACCATAGTCACTAAAATGATATTAGCCAATCCGAATACTAAATATCGGTCAAGAAGGGAGGCAAATACGTACCTGGTGATGTCGAGCGTTGCTTTCTCGCCAACCTTCATCTGGGGAACACCCTCGTCCCAACCTAATATGATACAACATCAATATCAACGTTCAAAAGAAACAAAAGCTGAAGAGAACAGCATACCCTTGATAACCTGGCCGACACCGATTTTTGTGACAAAGTCACCTCGGCCAACCGAAGAGTCGAACCTAATCCACAAGTCAGTCAAGTGTTTATGAGCCTCCGACTATCCTTGACGTCAATGCCAAGCCAGCATTCAAATATGTCAAGTAGCGGGGCATTGAGGAGATATTGGCCACAACTGCTTGCTGTACTTACTGAGTGCCCTTGTTGTTTGGCTTGGAGGTATCCTTGAGCCAACCAGTGTACTCGATGGTAACAGTCTGGCCGGGAGTAGGCTGAGCTCCGGTGCCCTCTTGGATGACGGTCTTTGTGACGCCCATGGTGATGATTTGTTTTGTGGTTTGGAAAGAAAATGTGCTGGAGAACTTTTTTTTTCTCTTCCCTTCCAAATTTTTTTTTTCCGTCAATTACTCTGGTGAGTTGACGAAGCTACGATGGAAATGTTTTAGCGTCTTTTTCTTTTTAATCACTGCGGAGAAACATAAACGTGGGTACCCAAGCGGCTGAAAGAATGATAACAATGATAGTGCGTGGTGTATTGTGTGTATTGTGTTATATTGCGGTGTGGTTTGGTGAAGATAGGCAAAAGAATAGGAGGGGCTCAAGGACGACCCTTACTCACCTTGGTATAGAGTGCCTGGGTAGACCACAAATAAAGAAGAGTTGACTTTGAATGGATTACGTCAAACAGGAAAGACTCGGAGGGTGGTGAAGAAAGGAGGTAGTCAACCTTAAATAGTCAAAACGGGGGAGGACGAAGACGAATATTTTTCTTGAGCGCCTGAGCTTCATGGATGAAGCACGTAATAGGGCCCATCAAGTAGTACCTTAATACCTACCTAATGTAGGGCTCCAATATACATAAGTTATGTACCTTAGGTAGGTAGGTACGCAAATGTCCACGGGTATGTATGTACATGTACCTTGTGATCCAAAATACGTACATAAAATGTGTATTTACCTGTATTTAACTCACATAGTGTAAGCTAGCGTTATTGCATTGTTACCCTGACCCTCACCAAAATATGTAGGTCTTTCCAAAGTCTCCAGCTCCCAGCTTCCAGCTTCCATATTTTTCTAAGCTCTAAATAGTACACCAAGTATGTAAGTGCTAGGGAGGTGCTTAGATTTGTTGGTGTAGGTTGCCAGTTGCCAGGTACCCGATCTACAACAACGTATGACAGGCAGGAACAAACCCGAATGCACGGGCGAATAAGGTTTCCCCTAGGCTAAGTTTGTCCCCCTTTTAATGAATTCTTTCCGACAAAGCACATAGGAAGTCACAAAGTACACGCCCACGCATACTGTGATGGAACCTTACGTCAATCAACATGACAACCGCACTTTTTTCGTATTTAATACACTGCATATCTGAGGTACATAAACGGGCACCTGCTAGACCTAGGGCCAGCCTAACAAGCGCCAAGTACAATACACACCTATCTAAGTACCTTTTTTACCTACCCAAGGCATCATGCGTATGGGAAGCTGCTTACACGTATGAACTGTTCACTTTACCTCATACATTAGCAGCGTCTATTTTTTTTTATCTAGCTGGAAGCTAGAACCATTTCAGAGAGCCGAACGCTGCTTCCTACATGTACACATAATCTAACTCATACCTGCAGGTATTTTATAGGAGGTAGGTATCAACTATTTGCTTGTTGCACCTCTCACGGAATGCTGTTAGCATGTGTCTGCTGCGTACATGAACAAGGAATGGTTTAACATTAGAACCCCATTTTTTTAGGTGTCTGTTTCCGTCTATAGCTTCATTATACATTAGGTACCTACATAAGGGTACCTAGATAGAAAAGTATCTAGCCATGCAACTAGAACAAACTAATCTCATTACTACCCAACGTATGTATCTGGGCAAGGTATGTGGTTTATCTGATTTGTCTTTTTTCTTTTTTTTATCTTATTAACTGATGTAATAAAATACGCGCGGTTTCGTTAACGACGCTATCTCAGATAGGTAGCCATATCGTGTGTTTTATATTGGACATATATCAGACAGTTTTATAGCTTTCTATTTCTTCATCGAAAATGCGGTATGCATATGTTAAGGTTGGACACTGATTCGTCGGAAAGTCCGAAGAAGAAAAAAGTACGGACGTAACCGAGTCAGTGGCAGTGGCGCTCCCTCGGCTTGTCCTGTCTGGGCTTGCCTGGGTTGTCTACGAATTCCGTACAGAAATAGCTAAAAAGGTAGTCAAAGGGAAAGAACAACTTCTGAAGATCTTGGGGTTCGGGGTGCGGGGCTATCCGTGGGGTTCAATGGTTGGCCGATCGCTTATACAATACAGATCCTTGCAGGCCGCTTGCATTCCTACCACCTTCTCTCTTACAAGCTCATGCTGCTGCAAGCCTGCACTGCACGGCCTCTGTCCTTCTGCTCTCCTGCTCTTCTGCCCTAAGGTTCTGCCCTCTGCCTGCCTAGGTACCTAACCTAACACGTTCTCAGGTTTATAGCGATATACCCGAACCATCTCGTCTCGTCTGATGGCCCTGGCTCGGATACGACCCGTGCATGGAACCATCCAAATCATACAGTATACGATGCCTTCAAGGCTTATGACTTGTCAGCTTGTCTGCTCGTTCACTGCTGCAGCAGCAGTGGTAGCAGCAGCAGCAGGGACCCTCGGTGTGGCGACGATCACAACTGCAAGTCGTAGTGTTGCTTTACTCGGGGAAATCTGACGTTTACAATGCGCCTCCTTTCCTGCAACTTGGAACCGGGGAAATATCCATGTCTGGTTTCGTCTTAATTTGCAATTCGCAAT